TAGATTCAGCAGACACATCAAGGCAATAACTAAATCAGCATTTTATCATCTCAAACAAATAGCCAGAGTTAGAGGTCTCATATCCAAACGAGATTTATAAGATTTAGAAAAACTTGGTCATGCCTTCATTTGGTAAAAGGATGGTTGACTTAACTGTAACCGTATTTTGTCTGGTCTTCCAAAAAAGACTTAGACACCTTAAGCTAATTCAGAACCCTGCTGCCAGAGTTCTAATGAGAAGAGAAGAGAAATTAGCACATTGCTCCTGTTCTTAAATCTTTACACCGGCTTCCAATTACTTATAGAACAGTTTGCTGCTGCTAGTTCCTAAATCACTCAATAATCTCGGACCAAAATACATTTCTGGTCTCAGAAGAATATCACCCATAGTTCTTTAGGAAGCATTCGGTAGAACCGCAAGTCAGAAATAAACAGGGTGAAACTGCTTTTAGCTATCATTCTGCACACAGATGGAACCAACTCTTGCCACCTTTTAAAACTCTGCTGTTCTCCTGTGCCTTTGACGGATTGTTTTTTCTACTGCACTTTTACTTCAATTTATTTTATTACTATTTATTTATTGCATTTGGGCAATTGACACCTTATTACTGCATTGTCAATGATCAGGTTAAATGCCATTCAAATGCTTTTCTTTGCCTATGTAAAGCCTTGCCTTGCCTTAGGGTGACACCCTCTTTCCACATCATACTGGTCATACTGGCTTCTGGTCATCTATTTACATTCTCTTTGGAGAGACATACTGTTGCTTTTTGTATACAGTAGGGCTCAGTTTACTCTTTACTAGAGCAGAACACAAACTGGACTTGATCTGGATCCAACCCTCTCTCGCTTTGGTGCTGGAAAGAAACACCATGGTGACCTTTACATCAGCCCTGGCATAAAGAAGTGAACGCACACACTTTAACTCACATAAACACTGCACATGTACTCTTTTACTAAAGGACTGTAATGGAGTATATGTCATGGTATTTTCATTTTCCAGCCCTGCCCAGAAAGACACACATCTTTTTTTTTTTTCCACAGAATTGTTTAATTTTCTTTCGAAATAAAAGTGAGGAACTACATAAGCTCTTTGTTAAAGCTTCCAGAACAATGCAGTGCCCCTCATATGATAACTTCATAAAAGAGGCTTATTTGTTTTTAGGCATCAGTTGCTCATTTTATTTATTGCAGAAAATAGGCCTTGTGCTATTAGTTCTTCAACTAATGACAAAACTAATTCCAGGACATACACGCCAAGTTTTCTCACATATTGTTACTCCACATTTGTTGGATCCCAGGACACATGTCTCCCATCATGCAACTTGTTTATAGCCTCCATGTCTTCCTCCTCCAGCTGGAATCCAAACACCTAAAAGAGTGTGAAGAGAAGGAATAAAGGGGAGAGGTGGTGTTCAAATAATCAGTACAATATTGACTGATAATTTCAGTTTCAGATTTGTATTGATGTTTTTTTAAATTTATTTACAACTTACCTGACAATTTTCTAAAACACGCTCCTTTTTGGTTGACTTTGGTATTGTAATGGCTCCATTCTAAGATGAATACAAGAATTAATAACACAGTGGAAACTTTTAAACTGTGAGACTGGCAATTGTGACTAAGGCAGTGCTTGTATTTTATAGAAATAAAATATATTATTTATATAATGTTATATGATATTCATAATAATAATAATAAGTGGGGAAACACTACAACAGCATCCAAACCTGACTAGATATGGCAAATATCAGTCCGATTCTGGAATAAACTGATACTGGTTCTCATTTTCATTTATATCACCTGAATACTCCAGCGGATGCAGATCTGAGAAGGTGTACGTTTGTACTTCTGTGCCAGCTGGACAATAGTGGGGTTGCTTAGGGCTTGACCCTTGGCCAGAGGGCAGTACCCCTGAAATGCAATACCCTCCTTAAGGCAGTACTCGATCAGTTTATTGGGCTGTTGGAATGGATGGTACTCCACCTGTGATGGAATAAATTATTAGATTATGTACTGTAACAATGCTTGTAATGTTCTAGTAGTTGTGACCCAAATTCTCTCATAACCATGTCTCTACCCCTTCAGATAAAGGTCATGACTCCCTGTGGACATTTTTGTCCAGACAGAAATATTTTGTGAAATATTTACTTGATTAACATGTGGCACCACAGTACAGTCCTGCTTCAACTGCTCCAGGTGGTGAATCATAAAGTTGCTAACCCCAATAGTACGACACAACCCTGTGGGAACAGAGTGCAAGAGAGATGTTATGAAAAGAGAATGAAATGTGTTTTACATGCAGTATGTTGATGTGTGACCTAGTAGTTATACAGGTTGATATGACCAGTGTATTCCAATAAATTGGTCTGGTTAATAGATGATTTACTAATCTGGTATTCAATTCAATTTAAAATAAATATTCAATTAAATTCAATTTAATTGTATATTTACCCTCTTCATGAAGTTCCTCCAAAGCTTTCCAGGCCTCAGCTCTCAGTTCTCTATTGCAGTGACCAGGTGGCATCGATCCAGGCCAGTGCAACATGTAGATGTCTGAGCAGGAGCAGACAATAAACAAACAGACAAGAAAATATCCTTCACATGGTAATTTTTTGCATATAAAAAACCTTCCCTTCAGTCCTTACCAAGATATTCCACCCCCATCTGGGAGCAGGATTTCTCAAAGGCCTTCTTGGCAGTTTCACATCCATAGTCCTCTGGCCAGAGTTTATTAGTGAGCCACAGGTCACTTCGGGGTACCCCACTGTCTCTGATAACTTCAGCCAGCTGCACCTCAAAGCCATTATACTTTGACGTGTCAATGAGGCGTATGCCACAATCACGGACTGCATACAAAACAGTATCTTGAGAGAATCCTCCAACTTGGGATGTGCCTTAAAGCGAGGAAACAAAATGTGGACCATTTTATGTGTCGCAGCTACTATACAAAGTAAAATATGTTTAACGACTTAATTAATTCTACTGTATAGTATTGTTGTACATATATTCCAAGTAGCATAAAGGGGACTATATAGAGCTGCATTGTAATGCATATTTTATATGTTGCATAATCCACAATTATTTAAAAGGAACACACATCAAAATAAAATGATACATACCTATTCCAAGTATTGGGATTTGCATCCCATTTGAAAGTTTAACTGTGGGACAAGTCCAGCTCTGTGTAGAAGACATGATCTTTTGGAAGACTGTATCAATGTGACCTAACCGAGAGCAATAAGACCTGAGTTTTGTTTCATCTGAAGGGATTTTGCCAGGAGCTTCTTCCTCACAGCCTTCTTAAATATTAGGCCACACCCTCCTTAAAAAAACATTATAATTATACAATTTGATGAGCGCCAACTGACTTTGAGTGCTTTGAGCACACAGCCTCTGGACAGTCAGACCCAGAACAATCTGAGAACTCACATGGGGCATGGGGGAATAAGGTTAATCCACTGAGCACGTTTTTCTGTCTTTTAGGAGGATTCTACTCCTTGTTGCAAGTGGTATCTTTTTTTAAAGACTTTAAATGAGCAATCATGCTGAGTTGCAAACAAAAAAAATCAGAAGACAGTCTTCTTGTGCAGTTGCTTTTGTATTGTTAAAGTGAAGCCATTTTTTTATTGCTTGCAGTGGCTGAAAACCATCATCAAAAAAAAGCTTACACAACAATTCACAAAATACATGAGAATAATATTGGATCGCAACCAAATCTACCGTTTACTCTCATCTTATGCAAATCTTATGCAAGCCTTTAAGATTAAGATTTGGGAAATACTGAAAAATCTGCAAAAAGATTCATAACCTTTGTCAACATCTTTTCTGTCACATATGCTTGTAAGATTAAGTTGTTTTTGCATTATAAACAATATAGCTTCCTATAAAGTAAAGGACCTTTTTTTAGTCATTCCATCCAGGAGATGAATAAACTTCACATCATAATAGAGTCTCCTTCCAGGCAAACGGTGGCACACAAAGTGTAATGAACAAACACAAAATTCAAATCGTATTAGTTCTTCCGCTAACGGTTACTGACAAAACTAATTCCAGGACAAACACTGAGTTTTTCTCACATATCATTATTCCACATTTGTTGGATCCCAAGTCACATGTCTCTCATCATGCAAGCCACTCAAAGTGGCCATGTCCGACTCCTCCAGCTGGAAATCAAACACCTTTGGGTGAGAGAGCAGAGGTAGAGGAAGAAATTATAAATAGGTGTCACAGCCATTCATTATTTAATGATTTTTTTTTATAATTAGGCATTATGTGAGTGATAAGTGAGAGTTGGCTTCTGACTGCCTCACTGCCTGTTTTGAATTTTTTCCTCAAGAATTGGTTATTGTGACTAAATTTCACACAAAAAATGACAGTATCCTGATTAATTGGTCCATCAAATAAAATTAATTTGTACTTTTCTTGATTTTGAACTGTTTTTATGAAGGTTAATGTACAATGCATTGCCAACTCACTTGACAATTTTCTTGTATCCTCTTCCTTTTTACTGATTTTGGTATTGTGACAACACCATTCTAAAGGAAAAGTAGAGAAATCACAACATTGTAGGTAAAAGAAGTATATTATATACTGTACATAGAGAGTGTGGTAATGTCTGAACAATGTGACAACCTGAATACTCCAGCGGATGCAGACTTGAGCAGGTGTGCGTCTGTACTTTTCTGCGATCTGGAGAATGGTTGGCTCGCTGAAGACTTGACCCTTGGCCAGGGGACTGTACCCTTCAAACACAATTCCCTCCCGATGACAGTAATCTTTCAGGTGATTGGGCTGCTGAAAAGGATGGTACTCCATCTGTTGAGTAATAGCAAGATATTATTGAATCATTTGTTTTTTAAAGTATAAATCGCCCCCAATTGTTTTATTCAGTTCCTATCAGTTTTTTTAGCAGTTTATGGGGGACGGCAGACTAATGCTAGAGTAGCTCTATATCATTTTTATGAAAGAAAATGACTTCTTACTACTGCACGTATGTATACCGGGAACCTCATGAAGGAACTCACCACCAAAAGTTTTTTTTATATCATCTCTGAAACAAGCTTATCTTTTTCAAATCGGACCTAAATGCCTCTGATTTAATCCAGCTGAGGGTTTTCTGTAAACAAAAAAAACCTACCTGATTCACATGTGGCACAACACTGCAGTCTTCCTTTAACGGTTCCAGGTGGTGGACCAGAAAGTTGCTCACTCCAATAGCACGGCACACCCCTAAAAGGAAATATCCCACTCTGTCATTATCACATCACATCATGACACTCGCTCTAGTCACTTCCTGTGTGCTTTCCAACTGTTTTCTACCTTCTTTATAAAGTTCCTCCAAAGCTCTCCAGGTCTCAGCTCTCATCTCCCTGTTGGAGCTACCAGGTTGCAATGGCTCTGGCCAGTGCACCAGGTACAGATCTGAAAAAAAGGAAGACAACAAACTGCATACAATGTCAGGGATGGAGGACTGTCACTGCAGTAAAGAAGCAAAGAACATGACGACCCAATTACCCTCCGGGGATTAATAAAGTCTATCTATCTATCTATCTATCTATCTATCTATCTAACATCCATTATTAGAGAAAGCGATGACCACACATACCAAAATAGTCCACCCCCATCTGTGAGCAGGATTCAAGGCAGGCCTTCTTTGCGGCTTTGTACCCGTAGTCCCCTGGCCACAGTTTATTGGTCAGCCACAGATCACTTCGTGGTATCCCACTCTCTCTGATAGCTTTACCCAGTTTCTCCTCGCAGCCGTAGCGCTTTGCTGTGTCAATGTGACGCACGCCACATTCAGTGAGCGCATACACAATGGAATCATGAGAGTATCCGCCAAAATGTGATGTGCCTGGTATAGACATAGAATATTAGACAAAACATAGGCTGTCAAAATCCAAAAATATCAAAACTGCTCTTTTTTATTTTATTTTCAGAAACCAGAATTTACACAAATTCTGAATTTAATTTTGTATGTGTCAGTGTTTGAGTTACCAATGGACACAAATATTATTATATAGTCAACTTTTCCCTTATAATTCCCTCCGCAGAATGACCTATTTAAAATAAACAACAAACATCTGATTTAAAATAAATAAAATTCCATACATACCAGATTAAAAAGAAATGTAAAAACACCACACAATGCGTTTAGTGTTTGCATTAGTGTAATGAGGATTTCCCAAACATACGCACCTAATCCAAATATTGGAATCTGCAGACCATTGGAGAGTGGGACTGTTGGACTCAGCACTGGTGCGAAAGACATCTGGGCAGCGATGTGCAAGCTGTAATACAAACAAGTCTTAATACATTCTTACTTTTAACTGTCTTCTCTTCTTGCTCTAGGCCTGGGTTAAAGAACATACTGTCAATGGTACTAGCCTTTTATCACACATCTGCCATACTTGACGACTACCCACAAGTTTACAAATGACTTACTAATGTTAAAAATATACACCCGTTACACACACTTCAGTCACTTACGTACACCGCGTACCTGAGAGTTGGAGGAGACTTTCCTGTTGCAGGTTTTGTTTTGTGTGTGTTTTTGTGTGTGTTTTTGTGTGTTTTATCTTCTTTCCAACCCAACAGCATTAGCATCTCTGGGACAGGAAGAGATACGCCCCCAACGGAAAATCAAATTACATGTCATTCATGTCTACTGGCAATCCGTTTGTTCAGCCAAACAAAGATGGCGTCACTTTCCAAAGTGTACGGAATACGCTCAAGTGAGTGAAAACTGATGTACGACACTGTAACGTAGGAAATGCTAACAGAAAGACTCAAATGAATCGCATTTTCAAGTAGTTGGCAATTTGGAGGTTTACCAACAACTCAGCGGTTTATTTTTTTTTAAAATTACGTTGCGGCTAATGTTAGCTTGTCAGAGCTCTTTGCTTTTTAGGCTCTTTGGTTAGAGTTAGCCAACATGGCGACCACGTAGAGCAAACGGTTTGTTTGCATTGCCAACAAAATGAGGTGAGTTTTGAGTGACCGAAAATAAATTAAACATAACTTCTATTGTTCTAAATGCAATGAAGTAACTCTATCATGAGGTATTTCGGTAAAGTCAAGCTATGGCGTTATGTTTATTTTTTTAAGCATTTAAGCATAAAATTACGTTAATGGTTTTATACAAGTTAGTTTTCGTGGAAGCTAACGTTTAATTTGATTTGCTTACAGAACAAATTCATAAAGGGGTTGTTTTTGGCCATCTCCAGCAATCAGCACCACTTTTCACCTTACTGGGGACACTATAGTGTTAATGTGCACCAGGCCTGGGCCATTTAGTTACTAACAGTCCTTAAAATGAATCCAGTGAAAGTGTTAACACAAAAAATAAGTAGAAACTTATTTTCTAATGATTTGAGTATAAAGCCATGCACCTCTGTCTCATAGCATTGTTTGATCTAGCTGGTGTTCTGGGATAGCATAACTGGGAGGGATGAAACGTGGAGTATATTATAATAAAGTCCATAATCTGTGTACCTTCTATATGATGCAGGGTCCCCCGTTGCTGCATGGGGCTCAGGCGAACCTATTTGGTTTGGCCAATCCTGCTGCTACTGCTGGTTGGTGCAGCCTTGACAGCTCTGCTGCCCCCTGCTGAGGACCAAGGAGGCCTTGGTGTGCTGGGTGTGCTACGCCGGGGAACATCACAAAAGGAGAATCCTGCACAGGGCCACCATGGTGACAGCACGGAGGAGCAGCAGAGGTTTACCATTATCATCCAAACTTACAACCGCACAGACATTTTGCTCAAACTCCTAAACCATTACCAGGCAGTCCCTCATCTTCAGCAGATTATCATAGTCTGGAATAACGTTGGGGAGCAGACACCCATGAAGTTGTGGAACTCTTTGGGGCCTCATCCGGTCCCTGTGGTCTTCAAGGAGCAGAGTAGCAATCGGATGCGCAACAGACTACAAGCATTCCCAGAGATTGATACTGATGGTAAGTATATCTATAAGCTTTAATTCTGTGTATACACCGATCAGCCATAACATTATGACCACCTGGGCACCGTGGTGGTCATAACGTTATGCATCCCCATACGTAACAAACTGTAATAACCAGATAATCAGTGTTATTCACTTCACCTGTCACTGGTTATAATGTTATGGCTGATCGGTGTGTATATACCTGTTTTTCTCAGTGGCATTTGCTAGACTTTTGCTTTGATCCCCAGTTGTGCTGATGCTGGATGATGACACCCTGGTCAGTGTTCCTGACATCAGTTTTGCTTTCTCTGTCTGGAAGGTAATACGTGGTTGACATTCTGCATCTAAATTACATTTTGGTTTGACTTGATAATTATGTAAATAAAAATGCATCGATATTATATAGTACTTTTACTGCACCATGTGATTGACATAACTTGTTTGGTTCCACAGCAATTTCCAGACCAGATTGTTGGGTTCGTTCCACGGAAACATGTCTCAACACCAGGAGGAGTGTACAGTTATGGCAGCTTTGAATTGCAGGACCCAGAAACAGCTGGAGGTGACAAGTAAGTACAACTCCACATATACTGTGTCATACTGACCACTGTTTGGTTTGGTGTTACTATGATGAGAGACTGTTTTAAATTCTTATATCCTGATCCGCTCATGGCAGATACTCCATGGTGTTAATTGGTGCTGCCTTCTTCCACCGCCGCTACCTGCAGCTCTTCCAGGACCAACCTCAAGCAGTGCATGAGCTGGTGGATGAAACACAGAATTGTGACGACATCGCCACGAACTTTGCTGTAGCACTGTATTTAAGGAAACACTCAAAGTCTACAGGCGGCATTACCAAACCCTCTGGGATCTTTGTCAAACCTGTGGACCTCCGCAACCTGGAAAAGGATGCCAGCAGTGGGTACCAGGGTATGTGGCATCGTCCTGAACACCTGCTTCAGAGATCCTACTGTCTGAACAAGCTGACACAGATCTATGGCCTAATGCCACTCTGTTTCTCCAACCTGATGGTCTCCCAGTTTGGCTTCCCTAGCTATGCCAACCACAAGAGTAGAGGCTGAGGAACTGCCACGTCGCTGACTGTTTCAGACTGAAAGAAGACAAACTCCAGTGGCAGTTTCTAGGCTCAGGATCATGGTTGATCATTGAGGGTACAGCTGATATTCTCCTGTCCATGTGATCATTTACCTACTATGTGTGTTCAGAAACAAGAATGCAGGCAAACGTTTTACAGGGTAAGACACGTAAAAACCGGCATTCAGTTGTTAGACAATCAAAAATGATCGCAAAACAGTAGTAGTATATTAATATTTTAGCAGAGGGTGAGACACAGCATAAATGGTTTTCATAAAAATATTTATGTTGTGTGCTTAGCGTTTACCTGCTCAGTGTTTTGTCTCTCCTCGTATTTCATGATACCGAGCAGTTTCACTGTGGTATTAGCAGGACTATCACGGACCTTCTTCCTTTGGACAACAGCAAGGATTGTTAAAGACTTTTCTACAAACGGCCCAGCTTGATGAAACGTCCATATTTCATCTGTATACTGTTGCCAAAGCTGCCTTTCCTTCAGCATGTACAACTCTCACATTGAACTAATAGTGCAGTTACTTTATAGCCAGCAGGTGTCAGTCTTTGATCTGCTTTGACAGTTTGCCTTGTTTGTAACTGATTTACAGCACTGAAGCCATCTCATTCAGTTTTTTTTTGTTGTTTATAGAATGTGTCACTTTCTGGTGAGCTTGCGTAGAGTCCCTACAGATATAAAATGCTTGTCAGAAAATATAGGCATTGTTTAGTGTTCTTCGGTCAAAAAAGAATCCCCAACAAAGTGTGAATCAGAGAATATAATGGAATTATCCCAAGTATTATGTGAACTACTGTGCATGCGTGGACAATCATTTTTTAAATGTGTGCACAACTGTCCAGCTTGTAGGACTGTATCATGTGATTCAGACAAATAAAGCTAACACTATTTCTCTGTCTGTCTATAATTATGATATTTTTGCTTCAAATATTGTCACGCAAATATGGATCAAGCTGCTTCTGCAATGTTTATAGCACCTCTTATGAATTAGTTCCCAGTGGTCATAAATTGAGGTACATTTGTTTCAATAAGGACTAATAATAAATAACTGATGACTGCTGAAACTCCAGTTTTAATAGCAAAGCAAAACCAGCACCCAAGATGGTATATTACATTGAATTAAGCAATTGATCATTGAATTTTATCAGCATTCTGGTTCATCTGTCTGTTATACAACTGCTTTCAATTATATGAACAGGAAAAAAGCTGACACAAAGGCTAAAGGTTAAACATCTTTGGATTAATAAGAGGTAGGAAAGTGATGTTTTCACTTTGTAGCTTAAAAGGTGTTACTTGTAGGGCAGCAGATGTCTGTCTACGCATTCAACATCTGGACCGAAACACCAGGCGTGAAGTCTGACCTGTTTTTCAAAATTCAGGTCTCTGCATACCATTAACTCAGCTTCTGCTCATTACTAACCTTGAATAAAAAAACTATTCAGATAAACAACAATATCCGACTCCCTCTTGGTGGATAAAAGTGTCCTGTCATATTCTGAGGTCACCCTGGACTCTCTTTCAATAAGGATCCTAAAGAACCTGCAAAGTGTCATTGTGGTCCAGGTCCAGGTCCATCACTACCACTGACCCCAGGCCTACTTCCTGGCCTGGATCCACCTGCACCTGGAGAACGCATGTCATGCCACATCTTCACGAGGGGCTCCCTCTTCCTCCAAATCAGTTTGTGACCATATGACACATACCATCTGTAGGACAAGATACATGGAGTTTAATGTACAGGATGCAGGATAGGATGCCACCAAACCACATTTAAAGCCCATTAACATCCTTTTAATGATTTATGACCCCAATAAGTTGTATAAAGCTGTCGTTCCAAATAAGTGTAAAAACATCCAGTAATAACATATATCGTGAATGATGAGCAACAGTGTATTATTACAGTATCTAGTTATTTTTGCAGTAATTATTTATTAATTTTGTGCGTCTTCATCGGTTTCATTCCGTACTGATTTCATGTGATGACAACTTAGTCATCTACTGTGCATCCATTCAAAAGACAGTAATGTGTCAGAAAGATCCTGAAAAGGTTAATCAGCACATGGAGTTTGCATGGAGCGCCCAAGATCTCATGAAATCTCCTCAAATTCATATATATAAAAAGTTACAGTTTTTTTCCAATGGAGCCTGGTGGGCCGTCGTGGCCAGCTATTTTGGTCTTAGATGCTGTGTTCTGACAAAACATCTAGTAGCAGCAAATTGTGTGTATATATATATATATATATATATAACTCCAACTGCATCTGATGTACTTTAGGATCCAAAATAAAGGATAAAAGATAAAGGATGAAGGATTCAAAAAAAGACTTAAAGGTCCAGTGTTTAGGATTTAGTGGCATCTAGTTGTGCAGTTGCTAATTGCACTCTCAAAACTCTTGCAAAATTTGTAAGGCTGTATCTAGAGCCAGTGCTCTAGATTCCATAGAAGTGAACCCGCTCCTTCACTCGGGTACACTCATTCTAAGGTAACAAAAACACAACTGTTCTTATTTTCAGGAGTTTATACACAAAGGAAAACATTCCTATAAATATATTCCATTTCTGCAAGTTGATCTTTCGAAATTAACACACTGGCTCTATAAACATATTCTTCTCCAATATAAAACAATTTAGCATTATTGGCCATGGCCCATCATTTATGTGCAGTTTACGAAACCCACAAATACATCGAATAATTCTGTTTAATGTAAAAGAAACATTGGCCACTCACATTCCAAAGAGGGCTCCGCCAAGGTGAGCTGCGTGGTCAAACAGTCGCCATCCCACTATAAGCCCTGCTGTGTCTATGGCAATGAGTGCTTTCAGAGCCTAATGATAGAACAATGACATGAACCTGACGTTACACACTAAGTAAATAACACTAAATCAGGAACGATCTCTCTACCATGCATTCAGACATGCATACTTACACATTCCCTCACACACACTGGACTTTGTCAGTTTCGTTCATGCACAGATTTACATCTCTTGCCTGCAGCGAAAACACAACACGGGAATGTCAACAACACCCTGCTAAATGTGTGGATTACCAAACTATTTTAATTCACATTACACTTCAGAGGTGTGTATCTGCAGAACAAGAGAACTTTTCAAACCATACGAAGCGCACACCCAAGACCTGGAGTCCAAACACACACACACACACACACACACACACATATATACAGTATACTGTGTATCACTTACGCTTCCTGCTGTGAAAGTGACCATGGGGAGGAAGAGTATGCCTAGTTTGGCTTCTGGCACTTTTGTACAGACTGCGGCCAGTACTGCCATGACGGCACCGGACTATGAATCAAACAAAAGGTGGGTCAAAAGATTACAGTCTTCTTCTTCTTCTTTTGTGTTAAGCAGAAAGATTTTAGCAAATATCTTACCGCTCCTAATGATGGATGGAGACGTCCAGTGACTGTTTTACACGTGTAGCTAACCATAGTGGAGATCACACCTGAAAATACACGATATGATTTGGATATCACTTCAAAAATCAGGAAGTCATTTAGCTAAATAGCAAATATGTAATGTGTACAGTGTGCCATTTTAGTTTATACCAAGTTATTTATAACTTGTGTTACTTAAAAAATGTAAACCTAAATAGATTCTGTAAGAGATTAAAAGAAATTTGGCTATGACAGATTCAATGCAATTTAAATACTGGATTTATATTAAATGAAATGTCATCAGACCCCACTCCTATTCTTTATTTGACTCACCGGCAGACAGGTAGACAGCAAGAAACTGCTCCTTCCCTAAGAGGGAGACAATTCCTGAAGAAAATGTCCACAGGACATACATGTTAGCCATCATGTGGATAATGGAGTAGTGGCTGAAGGAAGACAGGACCATGGGAATGCACCGTGTTTCTGGTGGGGGGAGAGAAAAATGGACAGAAACATTAAACAGGCGCTTGTACCACACAGAGAACAATTTCCCTTATTGTCCTTGTGTAAGCACTTTATATTATTTATTTAATTTTTTCAAATGTAGGTATAACAGGCATACTTACTGGAGGCTGGGTTGGACGTAAAGTACTTAATCATGCTTCTTTGCATAGAAGGGATCCGCCAGCAACACAGGACTACAGCATTTACTGCAATGATACCTGGAAAACAATATATGAAGAAATGTTTGATTATATTAAACACCGGAAAAGATGTTGATGCTAGCCATTCAATCTGAAGAAACAGGGACAAAATGAGTCTGTTTCTGCAACAGATATTACCAGTGACAGTCCTTTGTCCTTCTGTGAGGCTGCTCCAGAAGTCATCCACCATGGACATCAGGAGGATGAGCTGTTGCTGGAAGCCGGACAGCTGGTTCCACCAGTCATGCCAGTAGGTCATGTCCTGGGACCCCTGGTAATACATAAATGGTCACATTGGTTATACATTAACAACAGTGGAGGAAGGAGCCAGAAGTTTCTATCATTAAAACCTCACCTGTAGTAATTTTTCTGCCTCCTCTTCATCTTTTGCAGACTGAACTCTGGACTTCAGTGTCTCATATTGCAGAATGGCTGCCGCACCAAAGGAGCAACCTGTAAACTAACAGGGAGTCAGGCGCCAACCAATGCCATCATGCTGTCCCAAACCTCAGTGCTGCGCTCAATCTGTTTATCTCTCTCATTCTAGTAGAAAAACAGGAGGACCTACCCCTACTGTGAACATCAGCGGTTTGAAAAGTGTCGGCCTGGGCACTCTGGGAGGAGGCGGGGGACCTGGTGCACCAGCTTCAGAGGGTGAAACGTTTGTTTCTTGGGTGACATTTCCTTTCTTTGAATCCGTCCTTTTGGCTTCCCGACGGAAACCGCACCTCAGTTGGTTGCAGGGGTTCGGTCTGCCGGAAAAATTCAAGTTCAGTCAAAAAAATACACAAATACAGAATAACATGAACACCTATATGATATAAAGCAGGATACCAGCACTGCAGTGAAAACTGTGAAGCTTATAATGCCCCTTTTTTCTTGAGGTGTTAATTAAACTCTAAGATAATATGTTTGTTGTTCAGTAACACTGTTTGTAGTGCTGCAACTAATGGTACCAATTAACTGTTTGGTTTAAATGTCAAAATTATTGAAAAAGTAGAGTCACAATTTCCTAAAGCCTACGGTATTGTCTTCAAATTGCTAAATTGCTGACTTACACTCTAAAACCCAAATATGTTTAGCTTACTATAGTTGGAGACAAAAAAATCCTCAAACTCTCACACTGAAGAAGCTGGAACCAATGAGTATTTGGAATGTTTGCAAGAAAAACTGACTTACACAATTATCCAATCAGTTATCAAAATAGTTTAAAATGAATTTTCTGTCAATTAATTGTTTCAGTGTGTAATTGTTATATTGTGCTATATTGTACAATGTCCAATGATCAACACACTTTTGCTTTTTCCTGAGCATCATCTATGTAAAATGTATAATTATAGCTATATATATATACAGCTCAGGAAATTAGGTTTCATGACCCAGCTTTACATTGACTCCACCTCTTGGTTGAACTATAAACTACAGATTTAATAGGGTAAATAACAGGCAGCATTTAAAAGCGGGACATTACTGATGCTGCTCGAACAGCTCTGTTCTTAAAACAATACAGATAACAGGAACAGTGCCTTTTTACTGCAGACAAATGAAACACAGTGGTCTTCAGCCCTGTGGATCTCTTTACAATGACAGTTAGGTAACCACGCACTACCGCTCGAGAGGCAAACACAGGCACACACACGCGCGAGTCCTGTCAATGTTATTGTTGTTTACACGGACCCTGCAACATCAACAGCTTCATATTTGCTCACCTGGGGCTTCGTGAAGTTGTGTTAGTGGATCTGATAAACTGTGTTTGGGCCCATTTCATTACACATCCTCTCCACGCCATGTTTGTGATGACCTCCTGTCTGAAGCCCCTCCCACTGCCAGAATGCTGCATTCAAGGACTCTTCTAAAGGCTGCGACGTTTGACCTCCGCTCAAGAGCTCTTGGTGTAAGAAAGAGTAGGCAACTTTTTTGGAATGGGCATTGGTTGTTTATATTAGCAGCAAATAAACATGTGTTGTCATCTATTTATTTGGTTATTTTTTTTAATTAAATGCAAAAATACAAAAAACACAACATCACAGTGTCATACAAAATGGCAACACAGATGGCAACGCTGTCTGGTACTCTTTCTGTTTTTGTTTATTTTGTCATCTCACTGTATGTCTTTTCAGCTTTGTATTTGTTGTAAACACTTAAGTTATTATACATATATTTAGACTATTTAGTTTTTACAAAATAAGTAATTATTCTTACATATTTATATAAAGTTATTTCAAAGGTTTAGAACAGCAAATAGCAATTAACTTCAATGATATGTACAAAATATAAATGTATTGCCAAAGCAGGTTGTGCGTACTATACATACTAATACACTGTACATGAACCACCAATACCTAAATAACTTACTAGGCAACATTACTCATACCATTATAACACCCTCATATTATTTGTACACACAGAACTGTAAAAATCTGATCCGTATACTGTACGTTATTGTCCATTATCTGTACATTGGGTGTCAGTACACTAGGAGCTACTGGAAACCAAATCCTATGTATGTTTAAATATAGAGTTGATTCTCATTATGAAATAATGAAAGCATTTGAATGGTGTAGGCATCTGTGTTGCACAGGCACAATAACAAAACTGTATTTCCATAGGTAGCACTTCACTTCCCTCTAGTGGCTCTGTCAGATATGAAGGTCTAAGGAGTAAAATCACAGTGGTGGAATATAACCAACATTTACTGAAGTAATTAACTTAACTACAGTTTTGAGGTATTTTTACTTCAATTGAATCTTTTGTGCTATTATTTAATTTATTTGACTTAATATCAGAGGGAAATATTATTATTACAGTATTTTTTACACATTTTGACAGTAGGAAAAGCACAGGTTTAAATAATAAAATTAATGATGACTGAATTCCATTTAGCTTCTTGGTTTCATGTTGGCTCTCTGTCACACTGTGACACACTGACTTACTCAAACATTCAAATATATTATAATAATAATGATAATAATAATAATATATGATATCAGTTTTGAAATATTATTAATTACTTTTACTTTTGTGTATTTTTTGCTTTTGTACATTGTGCTTTTAGTACTTTTACTTGAGTAAAGGAATTCTGCTTGTAATAGCAAGCAAGTTTTTTTTTCCCATTGCTGTATTGCTTCTTTTACTTAAATAAAAGATCCAAATACATCTTCCAACACTGCAAATAGATTTTTAAAATTAAAGAAATTAAATCTAAATGAATGTAAAAGCTTTGAGCATAGAGGATAACACCAAAATAGTGAAAGTACTGTAAAAACAACAACAACAAAGGAGTCGATACATGATGTATAAATAAAAAACAGTAAAAACATAATTAATGACTCTGTCTTTTTCTTCTTCTACTTATTCTTCACTTAACACACTGACGTTTGTTTTTATTTAAACCAGAGAGAAAGTAGTGGGAACCATAGACAGCAGCTGAACAGTATTGATGGCACTAGGTGTTGCTATTGGCATCTGGACAAGTTCCACAAACCTCTCATAAGCTTGCCAGTGACTCCAGAAATAGGTGAAGAAGGTAGAATTTGCTGTGAGAAGACTGCACTGCAGTGTTTGCAGAGTAACTAGGGCTCCTACAGTGTAATACCTGCACTTGACTTGATGGGCTACTTCAGCTATAGACAATATTGCACAGAGAACGTTTATGAATAGGTAGGTAATTAATCTTAACTGAAGCAGGCAATGCATCCCGTGGGGACAATATAATACAATCTCACACTTTTGCGAGGAAATTACAGAAAAGCGGGGATATAGGGGTTTCAGGGCAAAGATACAGTGTACAAAGAAAGAAGAGCATTATGCCTTTGCCACTGTATGGACCCAAGGACACACTGCCAAGTTAGATGATATCCTATGGGTGCAGGTCTGGGGCAAGGGAGGACAGGGAGATGTGGGGAGAGGAGGAGATGAAGAGAGCAGAGGAGGGAAGGGAGGGATGACAGTGATAGGAGTGAGCGCAGGACGGACTGAGGTGGGGAGGCCTGAGAGAGTAGACTAACAGAGGGTGAAAATCATAAATATTTAAGCGTCCGCAGAAGTTAACTTAGGTAAAAAGCCGTTTGTGATTTGGATTTTGGAAAAGGAGCTGTACTGCAGCCGCAACAACCCTCACACGCAAACACACACATTCATCCCTCGCTGAATCTGTAGAGGACTATAGGTCCCTTTTCTGATCAATGCAGTGCATTTTTTCCCACCGGCAGAGGTGTCCTCTTTCAGGCCCTCTCATCGATTTACTGTGAACCGACGCCAGCCAGGATTTAGCCTGTGTCAGGAACGGCAAGGCCTCGGCCATGTGACAGGAAGTGCAATGTCTAAAATCAGAAGAACTTGTCATTTGTGTAGCACACTCATTTATCTTACTGGGACTATGTATAGATAGAGCAGATAATACAAGCAACCCTGACGTTATGGCTCCCGTGTTTGTGCTGTTATTTGGATCCACGGGCATGATGCTGTTGAACGTCATTTGGCCTTGAGGCTTCTATTTCAGCCCAAAGGCTTGAAACATCTTATACCAGCAGTGCAGTCTTTTTATACCATCAGAGGAAACTCTAGCTGTTATCATAGCGTCCTATCAGAGTGCTGACAAGGAGCTTTTGAAGACACGGATCAATGGGCCAGTTAGATAATACCACGGTGTGACTTGTTTTCTGTTTTTTTTGTACCTGCATAGATTTTGAGATGGTGGTCAGCGTATGATTGTGGTATTTTTTAAGGAGCAGTCTGCAGAGGATTTACACTATAACAGCTGTGTGGATTGGATACTGAGTGGAATTTCAGATAACTCCACCACTGCACAGTTCTGATGTTTAATTTACCCAGAATACCACAGAAGACGGCATGGCAATATTAACCTCTCACTATTCAAATTGATTTCCAGCATTTAAAAAAAAAAAAACGTTTATACAAAGGTTTGTTGTTGTTTTTTAAATTTTGGGTAAAAATGAGAGGGGCACTTGAATAAATATGAGAGCAGCACACTCTTATACAAACACTGTACCTTTGTGCACATATCTGCCCTGGCAGTTCACACTGATTTGATTACACAACACTAACAAGTTCCTCAAGAGCTTTTTGCACAAACCCATTACACTGAAACAGCCAGCTCATTCTGAATGCACAATGCAGTCTTTGTATATACTGTACACAGTGTCTATCAGAACTTCACTGCAGTATAATCAAATAACAGGCACAATAAAGAGTCAGATGTTCAGGACACGACTATTGATCTGTGATTCATTCATTAAATATTGATGATTTCTCAGCAAAATATCATCTGCCTGCCTAACAGTAAAGCAACATGGTGGTCAGCAGGTGTGTGAGGACGGAGCTCATCACTGTGGGCTGGAGGTGGAATTTATTTATTCTTATAGCAGAGTATGGTTGAAAATAAAGAAAGAATATATATATATATATATATATATATATACTTATAATATATGTAATATATATAATATAAAAGAGCACATTCTGCAAGCTTAGGCTACTAGCCCTTTTGGTGTGTTTTAGTTTGCTGATTACGCCTGAAAAACCTCTAAAAGAAGGCAAGATGGATTATATAACTAGCAGTATTATTCTTATTTCTTCAGTATTATACAGTAACTATATGCTTGACCAATGTATGAATTTTGTTGTAGATGTCTGAAAATCTGATCTGTATAATTTTGGGTCTTGTATGAACTTGTGTTGTCTTTTAAGGCCATGTGGGCTGGGCCTATGGCACAAAAAGAAGAACTTCATTCATTTATTCATTGCTTTATCTATTCAATATCCTACTGTGGGCAAAATGTTCTTATTAATTGTTTAATCACAATTGCAGTTTGAAATCCTTCTTATTGGCTCTGTTAAACAAAAAACTAAAAAAAACACTCACTTGAATTTGAAAAGAAAAACAGCATTGATCACATTTAAACTATAAAATAGAACAGTTTTGTCTACACAATCATCAGTAGGTTATAAAGTGCAAGCATGCTGGTTTTGCAAAGGAAAAGGAAAAACTCGCCTGTTTTGCTACAGTGTTTCAACCCAACAGTGACAGCAAAGCTCCTGCTCTTGTACTCCCGCATCAAGACACTTGCACACACTGCACCCGCTCTCCTCTGCACAACCAAGCCAGTTTGGCAACACACGCAAACACACACACACACACACACACACACACACACACACACACACACACACACACACACACACACACACACACACACACACACACACATGCACACTAAGTCCCAACCCTCCCTCAGTCTTTACCTGAGTCCTCAGTGTTCCTTACTCAGAAACTCTTCCAAACACCAAGGGGTAAGCACGAGCTCGCTGAAGAACTCTGCATCCGCGCAAAGGGGTCCCAGAAGGAGCTCATTTAGCAATTTATCACTTGAAACAAGCATCTTGCCTCTCTCTCTCTCTCTCTCTCTCTCTCTGCTGGGCTGTCCCAACTGAAGGAAGCGCATTCCCTCAGCCTACGTCGGTAGTACCTCCAACAACTTCTGCACCGCAAGGTTGACATGGGTGACAAAAACGCCGGTAAGTAACGTCCACGTGCGTGTATATGAATAAGTTATGAGCTCGTTTTGTTTTGCTGTTTAGTGGGGGGGGTTGGGGAACGTAGCGCTGCTTACTTGTGTAGATTATTTGTGCATAGACTGCGGAACACATAAAACCCCTTTTTAATTTTATTATCATATAAACTGCATGAACACCGCATGCAATAGGGGCAGGGATGCACTTTATGGGCTAGAAGTTGAGGGATGCGGATGGTGCTGTGTATGTGTCCGTTAACCACACACCAGCACATGCTTCAGTGCTGCAGCGCGATGCTGCTGCTGTA